TGGTTTCTTCATTGCCACAATTATTCAACCCCTTAAAGACTACCACTCTGAAGAACAGAGGTTCATACAGGTGCTTTCCATCAGGTATTGAAAACACCTGTGGATGTCACCGAGCAGCAATCAAGCATAATAAGCACCAATTAGGCAGCTTTAAAATGACTGTGATACTCAGCTCCTTCTAGACATTTACTGGGTGGTTACAAACATGGTGAAGGCAAGAGAATGGTCCAGGAAGACAAGAGAAGAGGTGATTTCTCTTCACAGGAAGGGCAATGGCTATAAGAAGATTGCAAAGATGTTTAAACATACCAAGAGACACCTTAGGAAGCATCATTCGCAAATTCAAGGCAAAGGGCACTGTTGAAACGCTACCTGGTCGTGGCAGAAAGAAGATGCTGACTTCGACTGCTGTGCGCTACCTGAAGCGTAGAGTGGAGAGAAGTTCCCCGTGTGACTGCTGAGGAACTGAGAAAAGATTTGTCAGATGTGGGTACAGAAGTTTCAGCCCAGACAATAAGACGCACACTGCGTAATGAAGGCCTCCGTGCCAGAACTCCCAGGCGTACCCCCTTGCTGTCTCCAAAGAATAAGAAGAGTCGACTGCAGTATGCCAAAAGCCATGTGGACAAACCACAAAAGTTGTGGGATAGTGTTCTGTGGACTGATGAAACAAAATTAGAACTGTTTGGGCCCATGGATCAACGCTATGTTTGGAGGAGGAAGAACAAGGCCTATGATGAAAAGAACACCTTGCCTACTGTGAAGCATGGTGGAGGGTCAATCATGCTTTGGGGCTGTTTTGCTTCTGCAGGTACAGGGAAGCTTCAGCGTGTGCAAGGTACCATGAATTCTCTTCAGTACCAGGAGATATTGGATGGAAACGTGATGCAGTCCGTCACACACCTGAGGCTTGGGAGACGTTGGACCTTTCAACAGGACAATGATCCCAAGCATACCTCCAAGTCCACTAGAGCATGGTTGCAGAGGAAAGGCTGGAACATTTTGGAGTGGCCATCGCAGTCACCAGACTTAAATCCGATTGAGAACCTCTGGTGGGACTTAAAGAAAGCAGTTGCAGTGCGCAAGCCTAAGAATGTGACTGAACTGGAGGCCTTTGCCCATGAAGAATGGGCGAAGATACCCGTAGATCGCTGCAAGACACTTGTGTCAAGCTATGCTTCACGTTTAAAAGCTGTTATAACTGTAAAAGGATGCTGTACTAAGTACTAAGATTGAATGTCACTTGGGGGTTGAATAAAACTGATAATGCTGTGAGCACAGAAAAGACATTTGTGGTTATTTCATTATAACTGTTATGTTATATTTGTCTGACCTACAAGTGCCTCTTTAATGTAAATGTAAGCAAGATGACTGAATGATCAAAAGCAATGTCAAACTGGCCAAAACACTCAATTTCAGTGGGGGTTGAATAATTTTGGCCACAACTGTACATATAAGGCCCTATACACACTGGGCATTTAGCTGTGGTCCATGGGGCAGTCTGACAGCTGCGGTGCCTGGACGGGGCTGGATGTGCACCTTGCTGTACAGATGTTTAGGGCAGCATGAATGTTTAGAAAGCTAAAAACCTGCTTTCCAGAAAATGATTCCTAGTCGCATATTTCCCTAATTGTCTGTACAGACGCTGAGTATGACAGGCTGCCAGCAGCGGGGCTGGACAGACACCTGTGCCCTCCACTTGCGTGTAAATGTCAGAGCCTCATGTAATGGGGCAAAAAAGCCCAGTTAGCATGAGGCTTAACACTTGAATGTGTTCCCTCTCTCAATAAGATCACCATACACTTGGCAATGTTTTTTTTAGCCAGTCTCCCCAGAAGGTCAGCATCATCTTTGTTCAGGTATCATCTGCTTATCATACCAGGACTGACATGCTGACCTATATATGAGAGGCAATCCTGTTAATCCTGGTGACCAGTATGTACATACCTCACGCATGTCAGAACCTTGCTGCTGTCTAGAAATCTGTGATTAGTCATTGTACAAATCCATCGCACACAGTTCAGTCCCCCAGCTGCCACTCTGACTTACTAGTGTATAAATATTTAAAGCCAGCCATAGGTTCAGCAGAGTTTGACCAAATTTTGATCTGTGTGTGGGAAGGCTGGTTGTACTGATCGACTTGAGTACAACCAATCATTTGGGAGTTTTTTTTCTGCCCAAACACTGCTGGTGGCTAAAGCTGCCAGCAGTGATCATTGTATTCAGCTGGCTGGGAAGGCTTCCTGTGTTCCCAGCCAGCAGAACTCAATAGCGCTGCAGGAGAGTTTCCCCCATCAACACTGAATGTGTTGATAGGGGAAACCACAATTTTCTTTCCTTCAACCTGTAGTTGAAGAAAAGAAAATTGCAAAATGTATGACCTGCCTAACACGATTGCTCTCCATTTCCCCCCACCCCCCCTATGATGTATTGGCTTGGGGAAAAAAAAGAGTAAGGGTTGCTTTCTAAGTATAGTATATGGTATAAGATGGTGCCCTTTTTTTTTTTTTTTTAATCATGCCACATTAAACTACATTAAAATTTACGTTTGGGATTTTTTGTTTTAACTGGTGGCTGCTCTGTTTGGTGAACTCTTCATTCCTTATAATTGGTAACTAATTGTGCATTGCTTATATACTATACATACGCTCATGTTACTACTTGTAGTTTGAAATGCTTTAAAAAAACATTTATTGAAAATGAAAAGCATTCTGTGAATGAAGTGGACCTTACATCTGCTCATCCTACATTCATAAAGCGATTTTTGTTGTGGGAAGCAACAGTTTTTATGAATGAAGGATGGGCCAGGTCCAGCAGCTTGTAGTAGCACCCGTGGCATAGGAAGATCAAAGTCGTCAGGGTGAGCAGGAGAATGAATATTTCACTGAGCAGAGCAAATAAGCACAAGGGACACTTTTCTTTCATTGTAAGTACTGTCCCTTGTGCTGATTTAAAAAAAATACTTGGGTTTTAAGAATGTTTTTATACAGGCTTGTGTAGTTTCTTGCTCCTGTACTTAAATATCTAGACTGGAGATCTTTTCATTGAATAAAACCATGTGGGTGTCCCAAGTGTTTACATTGTACTTCGGTATTCTGTTTCCTCAAGCAGCTGTCACCTTTTTATAAGGGGTAGAAACATGCCTGTGAGTCGGATCTGGTTCTTTCCCACAGCATGTCAGCATCATGTTGCGTAGTATTGACTGGCAGCGTACGTTACTCATTATTCAGAGCTGTCTTATATGAGGTTACGCTGGAGTTACGAAGATGTTGGGTGGGACTACTCAGATTTCCTTTTAGGAAGTTGGCTGCAGGGGTGGCTCAGTGTTTAAATTAGATTGCTTCCTCCAGGATTCTCAGACTCCAGTGTGTAGTGAAGGAGCCAGCTCAACAGAATCTGCTCAATGACTTGCTATTTTTATTGAGATGTGCACGCCGTTGGGGTGTCTTGAAGTTACCTGATACTTCTACAGAAATTCACAGGCTCAAGGAAGTATTCAGACCTACATGAAGCCCAAGGTATCTGTAAAACTATACTGAAATGTAATATGGTGATTAGTAACTACTCTTGTTATTGGTGATCTTTGCGTTTTCATTATCACATGTTTGCCATACTGGCTATAGCATTGCTGGCTTTCAGTAGTGTTGGTCAGTATGACGTTTAACTTGCTCTTCACAAGTAATTCAACCTTAGAAGCGAAAAGCAGCAGGTTGTGACTCTTTTGAAAGCATTTATGTGAGTACACAAAGTTAAGAACACATTGCATTTTCTTCTCTTTTGTATTTTTGTATTTTTTTTGTGTTTTGTGAACGAGTGCAGTCGCAACTCATAGAACTGTATGGAAGTGGTGTTACAAGACATGCAGATGTAGGTGTGATGATATAGTCAACAAATGTCCGCTCGTTCTTTCAAATGCCTTTCACTAAAGTGCTTAGAAAATGACCTAAAAAAAACAAACACTTGATGCCTTTACATTCCCTTGATTCCTTCTATTGCTTGGAGCAACCTAGTAAGACGTTCTTTTTTCCCACTGTGTCATTTGTTCTACTTTTCCTGAAGTCTTTTAAATAATCCCATTTAATTTTCCCCAATTAGTACAGAGAATGATGTGTTGTTATGGGAATCCCACCACATTTTGTCTTCTCTCCAGTCATCATAAACTGTGTATTGTTGCATCTTTCATCAGCAGGAGGTGACACATGGGCTGTCGAGTATCTTCCTTTTAGATTTATAGTTGACCCCCCCCCCATGTGTATATGTTATAAAATGATAATGGAATGCAGTCAGTTTCAGGAACATGTGCTGTTCTAGCCTTTTAAACATTCTATTTTGCAGAGGAGTGGTTCAGAAGATCTCCCTGACTCATAATTAATATTATGGAGTTAATTACACGAAGATTTTCTCCCTTTTACTGCACTGCGCTCTAAGTTAATCTTCATCCATCATGTTTTTCTGAGTTTTAACTGCAGACATTATTGATCATCCTTCAAGTCACTGAACATTGTCTATTTAAATGAAGTATTGTGTAGAAATGATGCAGGTTTGTGTTCACGTCTACACTGAATGGAAACCTTCATAAAGGATGCAAGAGGTGTATTAATGTTGTTTTCTTTTGTATTTAAGATAAATTATGTTATGGGAGGCTGCTAGTGGTAGTTGATCATACTTAGCTAGACTTGTTCTTTTCTATAGATGATGTTTCACCTATCACATAAGTGACTTCCTTAACCACTAGCCTACCGGGCACTTTTACCCCCTTCCTGCCCAGGCCAATTTTCAGCTTTCAGTGCTATTGCACTTTGAATGACAATTGCGCTGTCATGCAACACTGTACCCATATGAAGTTTTTATCATTGTTTCGAGACAGAGCTTTCTTTTGGTGGTATTAAATGACCACTGTATTTTTTTTTTTTTTTTTTTGGATAAACCAAAAACTGAAAATTTTGAAAAAAAAGTTTTTTCTTAGTTATAAAATTTTGTAAATGAGTAATTTTTCTCCTTCACTGATGTGCGCTAATGAGGCTGCAGTGATGGGCACTGATAAGCTGCACTGATGGGCACTGATGAGGAGGCACTGGTAGGTGGCACTGATGGGCATTGACAGGCATCACTGATGAACATTGACAGACATCACTGATGGGTACTGAAAGGCAGTACTCATATGTGGCAATGATAGGTGGCACTGAAAGGCAGCACTGACTGGCACTGATATGTGGCATTGATGTGCACTGGTAGGCACTGGCTGGTGGCATTGATGGGCACTGATAGGTGGCATTGATGGGGCTACACTGATCATCGGGGCACCAGTGTAGATGTCCCCTCGAAGGAATGCCGATTACTGGCTCTCCTCTCCTCACGAGCTGTCGGTGTGACATCTTGTGAGGAGAGAAATGCCGATAACCAGCATTGCCTTATTTACATGCGATCAGCTGTGATTGGACACAGCTGATCATGTGACAGAGCTGAAGCCATCGGCTCTTTCCGGTGATCTGTAATCCGCTGTGTCCCAGGGACATAGCGCACCTCCGATCAGCGCTCTGCGTGGTTGGAGTGGGAGGGCGTCATATGACGTCCTCCCAGAAAGAGAGAACCGCCGCGCTCCCGTCATTTCCTTATATGGTGGGTGGGAGGTGGTTAAACAATATGCCCATAAGCCCATTTAATTAAAGCACAGTCATTAAAATAAGGTCACTGAGTTACCCACATGCCTTCAAAGACTAAGGCCCTTTTCATGCAAGCTTATAAATTGGGTTTGCCTGTCCCATTTTTCAGATGGACCTGATTGGACCACCTATTCTCTATGGTGAGGCGGATGTTAACGGACATATGGCTCGGATGTACAAAATCCTTGATACTTTAAATGTAGATAGATACAAGCGGACAGCTCGGTAGACTCAACCATTGAAAATCTTTATTGGCTACAGGAGTACATCCAGTAAAAAAAAACATTTATGCGTTTCAGCTAGGCCACAGCAGCTTAAATGCGTTAGCATTGTTTTACTGGATATACTTGTTTAGCCTATAAAGATTTTCAATGGTTGAGTCCACTGAGTTGCTGGATAATATCCATCTACAATATTGTCCATAATTCACATGAAGAAACAGGCATCACAACATTTTGGGACCTCCCAGAATTATTTTTTTCAAAGCATAGGGATATAGATCATTAGTCTGTCATGCCTGTTTTTTTTAATGTGGTTAAAGAACAAGATTATCACAAAACCAAGGTGTGCTGGTGAACATCTCTACTTATCTATGATTTTACGCTGGCACCATTAATTAGATAACTACAGCACCATGAATGAACTGTGGGCAAGCCTGTAAGGTGTGCATCAGATACAATACAACTTAAATCAAAGAACAAGGACTGTACTCCTTTCAGTATTTTGACCTTGGTAATAGATGGGTGCTCGTAGTGACTGGAACTGCACTGGTCAACGTAAAAATGAGAGGTCACCAGTGCAGTGTCAAATAAGCCAATGTTTAGGGGCTGCCCAGGGTCCCTTCCTCAATGCGACATATGGACTATGCACGTCCCTAAAACATCGGCATAGTCAACTTGTGTGACATCAAACTAATAAGTGAGTCTGTATGTTTGCAACAGAGTTCTGGTCTCATTGATTTTTTGAGGTACAACGCAAAGTCTCTTTCAGAAGCTAGTTTAAATATCAACTACGTTTTTGGCACTGCGGAAATACAAAATTATACAGCTGACATCTCTGAAGTGTTGTCATCAGCATACAGCATGTTCTGTGGGTGGGGAAGAAAATCCTGTCATTCCTGTGCCTCTCTCCAATTCACAGAAAGTGTTTAATTCTGCAAAAACAATACAATGAATTTTCTGAATGGAGAGAAGACAAAGAGGTGGGCAGTGGTCTGGACATCAATGTGCTGCAATGGTGAAGCTGAGGAAGAAGTTCACCCCGTAGCACTGAAAATTCAGCAATGTGAAGAGGGCCTGTCATCACAGCAGGGCAAATGTCTATGTGAAGGAGCAATGGGCAGGATGTAGTATATACTGCATTGGAGATAACAAATGTAACTGAACCTATATCTCAGAAAAAACGAACTTCAACTTTAACGTACACCTGTCCATACCTTAAGGCTGTAACATTGCAAAGTTTATAAATCTTTCAGCAGATTGAGCAGATTACAACAGCCTGGAATTTGGACTTCAGGCAAGCAGAGGAGAACACATAAAGGTATTTGCAGGTACAGCCCAGTGCCTGCAGCCCAGTGCTGAAGCCTGTTCAGTTCCCCCTAGGGCACTGACAGGTGTACTTTAAGAGACTGTCATGATCTAGGCTACAAGACTAGTGTTGTTCTGTTGGTGGAAATGTGATGGTCTCATTATACATGCATTCATCACTACATTATGAGTCAGGCGTTGTTCTTAGTGCTGTAGACTCTGACCTCCCCATTTATGTTTATTAGGACAGGAGTGTACTCTTGCTGGATGTTTATTGTCTCATAACACAGGGAACAATCTGTATAATTACATGCATTGTTCCAAACGTTATGTGCCATTTACCATCACATAATTTAAGAGCTTTGCATTTTCTGTCTACAATTTACTGTCCCATAAATGTAACTGGATTGAAATTATCCACTTTTTCTGAGTGCATTCTTTGACTTCATCACATAGATCATTTCCAGCATGTAATGGTGAAGGCTTGTGTACCACGATGTCATGTCATATATATTCTTCTAGGAAATACGATCGTGGACAGTGAAGTCACTTAAAGGATCTAGCACCTTACTGGCAACTTTCGCCAAGCTAGAGACACATGTACTGTCAGATGTGGTTGATGGGTTTTTTTTTTCCTTGTATTTGGTATATAGACAATCATTAAAACAATATAATCTTTAGGTCACAGCTGTTTAGATTTCCAAATAGAATTTATTTTGTCTAACATTTCTGAAACTGTAATTACTGCTAATGAACAAATTAGCTGATTTCCTGAACTGGACACTCAGAATACTTTTGTGATGCATCTATCCTGCTTTAATAACATTGGTAGTTAATGCTCAACTCTAGGCTCTTTTTTAATTTCCCCATGCTGAAAACAAACAAAAAAAAATGTTCTGGCTGCAATGATCGACTGCAATCTGGAGCAGGATCTTCTGCCCTACAGGTTGTCTTTCTAGATTTAATGGCTCCCATCATTACTCAGACTAGAAGACTGAGAAAAGACTGAATTCCAGCCCTCTGAACAGGGTGTTCTGCACTTAGTGTAATGGAGCAGAGATCAGCATCATGACGTCAGCGCCACTCTATGCTCCTTCTGGATGGAAGAGTACCCAACATGTCACCTCACTGGCCAGCAGATATCAGAAAAGTACAAAGTAGAAAAAAAAAACGACCTACTGCTAGTAGGGGCCTTTCTAAGGAGAAGGGCACAGAGCGTGGAGTTAGATTTTTTTTTTTGGGGGGGGGGGGGGGGGGGGGGGGGGGGCATGCTGTGTCTGTACTCACCTCCACCTAAATACAAATGTATATAAGAGTTGTAGATGTTGGGAACCCCTGAAGCAAGTATTTCTGTCACAGAATGATTGTTGGTTTTCTGAAGTTAAAATTAATGTTGCAGTTAGATGAAGTGTGCTGTGGAGTTTTTCTTCAAAGGGCCAAAGGAAGATTCACATTTGCTGTACATAGCATTGACTCTTCTGCGCAGTTTCTGTGCTGACAAGCAATTATTGTTCATCTTGCCTTTACAAATATTATTAAAGATGAATCTTTTACGCAAGTTGCCTTGGCATGAACCTGTTTTACCGGTAACAGCCAGATTTTGTGAAAGACTAACAAGCGGGATGAGTGAACCTGTTGTAAGTAAAATGTGTATACCGAACACCCTTCTAGTCATAATTGGGAATTAAATCATACCAACAGTTGTACAGGATGCTGCTCAAGTGCACAGGTGATCAAATACCACCGAAAGAAAGCTCTATTTGTGTGAAAAAAAGGACGTAAATTTCATTTGGGTTCAGCATTGCATGACCGCGCAATTATCAGTTGAATTAGTGCAGCGCTGAGTAGCAAAAAGAGGCCTGGTCATTAAGGGGGGTAAATCCTCAGGAGGGCAAGTGGTTATAAAGTGTTAGGTGGAGTTTGGCTTCAGTTTGTTAGTGTGTCTAACTTTACAATTTCATCTAGCATTTTCCTCCCCAGATTGATAATGCTGCTGTCCAAACGTAGCCCCTGTGCTCCTTCATCCAGAGGGGGAGCACTCTAATAAAGTTGGTGTGTTACTAGCCAGATCACCAGGTGAAAACAGAAGGGGAAAAATCTAATGATGGGTAAGCTGCAAGATATTACATTTTTGTCTAATAGTGCTTTACATTTGAGGACAGCAATTTTACAGGCACAGAGGGTTCTCACATGTAATTGCCGTGCGGTGCATTTGCTAATGTCAATGCACCCTTAGTTGTCACCAGAACAGGTTTAGCCATTGTAAGATTTTCCCTTCACCTCCCACTCTTGTGACCACTCGACAATGTTGGATTTACTGTCACATGATTTGGGGGACATATGGTCCATTCCATTTCATGCTTTTGATGGCAACAGTGCTGTAAATTTACTTTTTTTTTTGTTTTTAACTATGCGTTAAAATGAACTTCAAATATGACATAACATAAAGTGCATTGGCACACTGCTGAAAAGCTGATGTCTGATTTGATTTTTGCACAAGTAAGCCTCTTTTCTGTTGAGATAAAATATTAGTAACTTCGTGCAATGTATATGTGAATTGGCTGCAGTTATAGGTTACAAAAATATGTTATCAAGCTGGGAAGGTATGGTCTAATTTGGAAGCTCAGTAGATGGCTAAGTGACATAGAGCATTTTTTTGTCCCTGGTTGACCTGTGTTCCAGTCACCATATGGTGGAAGAAAAACTACGCTTAAAATAGTTATAATTGATCCCTTTACTAAATGAACTGTCTCTATACACACATGATGGGAACAAATAGAGCATACTGAGCCCACAGCCCCTTCTCTGCAGTGGTACACCTCACTGTTTCATAGATACTGCAACTAAGATTGCACACTTTTCTTATTTTAACATCTTTGTATTCATTTTACTTCAATGATTTTTTTAGCTTTACAAATAATCTTTTAAATCTAGCTGATCCCCATCTCCATCTGTCCTCACAGTTGATCATGATAAAAGGCTTAAATATTAAAATGTTTTGTGGCCTATGCAGACAATTTTCTGAGTCATTCCTTTTTTTTAGGTGGGGGGAGGGGGTGATATGACAGTGCAATTTAGTTGTGCTGCAACTTTGATGTTACCAGATTTGATGTAAGGTCAGGTCAATGGTTACAAAAGTGCAAGAGAAGAATATAGAGGAAAAGATAAAAAACGAATGCAAAGAATTAAGACTGCAATTATCTATAATATCTGTTTGTATTTGTGGCAAGCTGTGCATTTTGTGGTGGAAGGGGGAGTTGGTAAAAATGATGCATACGCTATTTTAAGGGAAATTTTCATGCATTGCTGCCATATAGT